GACAGGGCTAGGGTTCAGGTCACTCTGGTTCAAAGTCTGTGCTTTAAATATTAGTCTAGACTGGTTGTTCCTAATCAAAAAGCAAAAATAGCACACATACCCACAAAAACACCAAAACACGGGCCCACACCAAACCAAACCAAATTACAAAAACACAAAACAAAAAACCCAGCCCAATCTCACCAAATATCAAGTTCCATTATGTGCCAGACCAACAATGATTTTTATGTTTAATACATTTTAACAACCGAGGAAACTGAGGTTCATCAAAGTTAGGGAAGGTAGACATGGCCAAATATTAATAATAAGGTGAAGATCCAATGTCCAGCCACCATTGCCTAAAGTCTGCAGGAGGGGGATTTCTGTATAGTATAAAAGAAAACTTTTACAATTAAAAATTATTTTCAACAACTAGAGCTTGAAAAAAGTGGAATGTGCATCTTCAGAGAGAAACGATATTCCTAGGCTAGAGGCACCCAGCAAAGATACCTTAGAAAGGGTTCCCACATGAGTAGGGGCTGCATGAGATACCCCTTCCACTGATGGTATATGGGTGGTGAGTGCTAATAAGAGACTAGGCTCAGGGTGGAGTTGGTCTGCAACCCAGAAACACAAACTTGGTGTTTTCAAGGGGGGATGCTGGGCAGAATGCCTAGGCTATCCAATCACCAGTGAATTGGAGCCCTACCCCAATTCAAGTGTCCTTGACTTTCCCCTGTGGGGAGAAGGCGTTGGTGCCTGGCCGGGGCAGAGGGTCTTTGCTAATGGACGTCCTCTCTGAACATCCCAGGGGCTGTGCATTCATCTAGGCCTTTCCCTTTTTTGAGAACTGAGAGCTTGCTGGCTGAGGCTGTTCCCACCAACAATGTTCATGTCTAGGGAGCTTAAAATAGCCCCTCTTGGCTGGGGCTCGGGAGTGAGCAGCAAGGCAGGCATTTGTGCAAATATGGGCCTGGGAGAAGGACTCTCACCCGGGGAAGGAGGGGAGGGCTGCACAGCAGGGGAGCCAGGACCTCTTGTGGGGGCTGCGCCCTCTGGCCATAGCCAGCAATAGTGCCTGGCGCCTCCTCCTGCTGTCCCTGACATTACAGGGTCCACTTGAACAAGGTTTTAGACCAAATCTCTCAGGTCCTCCTGGCTTCCATGAGGCTCTAGGCTAGTGTGTGCCCACGGGAAATAAGGGTCTCTGCATTCTGCTAGTTCTAGCCTTGTTCCCACCTCACAATGCCCTTCCTACCTAGGAGCATTCCACAACCAACCTTGAAGGCCTAACTCAAAACTTGTTTTAACAATGGGAATGACAATTGCTGCTACCATTAATTGAGTACTTACTGTTGCCAGTCACTGTGCTAAGCATCTTAACATACACTATCTCATTCAATCCTTAACTGTCTGTGGACAGCCAGGTTATTATTATCTTCACTGTGTGGAAGAAACTAAGGGTCAGAAAAGTTAAGTAACTTTCCCAAGGCCACACAGTTGTGAAGAGGCAGGATTGAACTCATCTACCAACATGCCTCTGGCTGCACCTGCCCTTCAGGGTCCCCACTCTCCATCACAGTGCCACCACCTTGTATGACAGCTGGCTTGATTCAATGTGTCAGGTGTTTAGAGAGTGCTTGCCTTGTGCCAGACACTCTGCTGGGTGCCCCAGCCATAGCTTGGGAGCTCCTAGATTCCCCTGAGGACTCTAGTTTGGTCTTTGGGGCTTAGTGAGCTCCTAGACTTGTAGGATCCGGTTGTGTGAGAATGGTAAGGTGACACTGAGGTCATCCCAGGCTCTCTCTGATGACTAGTTGACCAGCTGGAACTTTTCCCTCCTCTCCTGGCTGCACTGTTCCTCTCCTTACCCCAACAAAGGAACAGCACGTGCAGGAGTCAGATGAACTTGCTTTGAATCCTCTGTGACTTTGGTCAAGTGACTAAGTGCTCTGAACCTCAGTTTTTGGTCTGTAAATTCAGGATAAAACTAGGAGCTCACCATAGAATGTTGGGAGGATTTAAGGGAGCAGGGCACGTGATCTAGCACAGTGCCCGGCAGTCAGTAAAAGGCTACTAAGTGGCATCTATCATTATTACTAATTGTTATTTTCTGAGAATTACAGTGTCCAAGAGCCAAATGCCTGGGGCCTAGCACACAATAGGCGCTCAAAGTGAAAGTTATCCCTCAGTGGACAGAATCTCCCACCCCCACTCCTGGCCTGATGTGGAAGGCATCCTGGCCACTGGTGCTCATCAACAATAGGGTTGCCTGGTAAGGCAGGTGCAGGGCCCCTACCACTGGTCTGATCTTTCATTTTCAGCTCCAGGGCCCATCCCAGGGAGGAGGCGGCCTGACTCAGAAGTTCCGTCAGAGTTTCTGTGTTCTTAGGGGCTGTCTGACTTTCTGGTGGCGCCATCTGGTGGCGAGTGTAACACTTGTCAGCCCTCTGGCCCTTCGCCTGCCCAGTCCTTCATTTATGCCTCCCACCACCTCCTGTGTGTAAAGGCCCAAGGACCCTAGCCTCGCCTGTGGGGGAGAGCCTCTGACGTCTTTGTCTCTAGCCTGGCAGTGACCCCTGGGGTTGGGTCATACAGCCTGCCTGGGTGGATAATCAGGGCATCTCCAAGGGCATACAATCCTTGAAGGGTTTCTAGAAGCTGAGGCTGGAGGAAAGGTCCTCCTTCCTGGCCTGAGATGGTCCAGGAATGGGAAACCCATTGATAGTCACTGAGCCTGTGCCTGAATCCCCATAGCTCCCCTCCCCCTTTGTGAGAGATCTGGGGCCCCCAGAAGGGCTTGCCTGGCTCCCAGGCCCCTGCCAGGCCTGTAGCCAGGCCCAGTCTGTTCCAGAGCTGTTTGGGGGAAGAACAATGACTAAGAAATGGGAGACTGAGTTCTGCTCCTAGCTCTGGCACAAACATGCCCCATCCCTCCTGGGTCTTAGTCTTCTTTTAATAAAATAAGTGGGAGGAGGGGGGCAGGTGATGGATGTAGCTTCCAGACTGGGTTCCTGCCAAGTTGCAGATTCCTGGGCCTGCTACTTCAGAGTCCCAGGGCTGGGACCCTGCAGCGTAAATTAACAAGCATTTCAGCTAGGATGTAGGGAGGCTGAGAGGTTCTGGCTTTGGGAGGCAGAAGTGAGGGGGGTGTATTACCAGCAGGTAAGGAGCATGTGGTGGGTTCAGGTCTGGAGAAGCAGAAGAATCCCTCATCCCCCAGTACCCATCTATCAGTTAATTCCCCAACCTTTCCAAGTTCATAGGAGGGGTCACCCCAGCTCCATGTCTGTCGACCCTGCTTTGAGCAGCAGCAGAGGTGTAGTAGACAGTTAGCATGGAACACACCCTGGCTGCCCCCACGCCTGGCAGAGGGGCTGGGATGGCCTGGGGGTGGGGCCTTGTTGCTTGATGAGGTATTTTCAGAGTCCCCCTCCCTCTGGAGTTTCCAATGATAGAATAGAGCCCTGTCTAGTATTTGACCAAATATGGTGGTATCTCTTGATGCACACAAGCCCCAGCCAGCTTCTCAGTTATGCTGTGGAAACCTGCCCTGGACAGATTAATCTTGTGACATTCAGGAGCGCCTCTCGCTCTGCGTTCTTCCCCTCCTCTGATTCCTCTAAATGGCCAAGAATGGCCCTAAGCAAGACATGGGAGTTCTGGACGTCTGTCTGCTCATGGTGCCCCTCCCCTGTCCTTACACGCGTCCCCCTAGTCCTGCTGCCCTGGCTGGATTCCCTCCCTTTGGCTGGACTGTTCACTCCAGGTGAGAGACATTGGCCAGAGGAGCCAGTCAGTTTAGCATGTGATTCCAGGACCCACGGATCCTGGGGTGACCTGACCTCATGAAGTCGTGGCTTGAGTCTTAGAAGCCTAGAGCTCTCGCAGCAGCCAGGAGGGTGGGCCTGAGTGGGTAGAAAGGAGGGTCGGCAGAGTAGTGAAAACCCTGCTAGGTCTAACACTAATTAGAACAGCTAATTTTTATAATAATAATTATAAAATTGTTTTATAATAAGTTTAATAATCAACAGCTAAGTGTTTATTGAGCACTTACTACAGACCAGACCCTGTGGTGGCTATTTAATGTGGTTATTTCCTTTATTCCTTACAGCCTTGGGGGCTGGATGCCCCAGTTATTCCCATTCTAGAGATGTGGAAGCTGAGGTCCAGAAAGATTTCAGAGAGGAATGGGCCAGGCCACTGTCTATTTCTAGGCACACATCCCATCTTACAGGGAAGGGACTGAGGCTGAGAGAGAAGGAAAGTAAAAACCTGTACACCGGGCAGGCCCCAGGCACAGAGACCACTCTGGGAGAAAGGCCAAAGCATTCGGCCGGCAGGTCCTCGTGGATCTGCAAGTTGGCCTCTGTGAGGCACACAGATTCAGACACACATTCACAGCAAGTTGGAATTGTGCAGAAAGTATCCTGAGAAAAACAGTATCAGGGGGATGGATAGAGCTCTGGATAGAGATCAAGCATGAACCCCAGATCTGTCATCTCTACATCCCTGCCTAGTGTGGGACTCACTTGGGCCTCAATTTCCCTGCCTGTGAACTAGACGGGTGAGACTTTGGTCTCCTTGGGCTACTGCACTCACCTGAGGCTGGCAGAGGCTGGAATTTCTGGGGCTGTTTCCCTGGGAGATAGGGTCTGTGTCTCACGGCTGGCCAGCACACTCCCAGAACATTTGCTCTTCTGACCAACCAGTGGCCCATCCCTCCTCCACCCTCACCCCCTTGCCATCCCCAAAGCAAACGAAGCTGATTGTCTTAGCTAGCCTGTGGGTGCTGGCCGGGTGGCCGGCCGCAGGCCACAGGCGGAGGTGCCACCGGCCAGAGCCCCGCCAGACACACAGGGCATTGTCCCTTGGTCAACAGCCCCTGGGCACCGAAGCCCAGCTCCTGGCCTGCCCCCATGTCCCTCAGCGCCTGCCACTACACTGGACTCAGCCAGCCGGGGGCCCAAGGCTCCCAGTTGATGACGAGCCCACCCACCCACTCCCCCAGCAGCCCCTAGTCGAGCTATAATTGCTTAGCTCCATCCTGTTGCTGCCATTCTCTCAGCGGCGGTGGTGGCAGCATCTGGGGTTCCAGGCGGGCGGCAGCTGCAGGCTGACCTCGAGGCTGGGCGGGATGGACTGGCCACACAACCTGGTACGTGGCGCTTCCCCACCCCTCCCCCACCCAGTTCAGAGCCTGAGTATTTCAGTATTTCTTTCCTATTGATTAATGACTGCCTCTGTTTGGCTTGGAATCTGTGGAGGTGAGTTCTCTCTCTGTCCTCTCCCCCAGGACTAGAAACAGAGACTGGTCTCAGAGCCTGCAGCTATGGCCAGTAGCTCAGGCTTCTGAACTGGGCTCAGCCCCGGCACACTGAAGCCCTTTCAGGCCAGAGGCAACTGGGGAGATCCTGGCAAACTCAGTTGGTGGGGGTTTTTCCAAAGAGACCTGGCTCCTAAGATCTCCGCTGTATGACCTTGGACAAGTCCTTCTGTTTCTCTGTTTCCCATCTGGAACATGAGGGAGGCATACTTTGACTCTATTCTGGGTTTCTCTGAGAGGAGAGCCAGCGTTTAACAATGCTTCGTGGTGAAAAGCTCAGATGAGAGAGCCTATTGTCAGGGAGACATTTTTCTGCCCCAGAGTCTAGGACCAAAATGGAAGAATTTAGTGACTTGAATCTCTGTTGCAGATTTTGTGCCAAGAAATGGCTCTGCCAGGAGGGGCTATGCTGAGACTTGTTTCCCAGTGTCAAGACTTCCTGAGTAGCCAGGATAAAGCAGGCACAGGCCATGGGATTGTGGGGTGAGCCATATGGGACAGGAATGGGGCTGGTACAGAGCCTGTCTGGATTCAGTGAGGAGATCAACCTTAGGACAGTGTTTTTCAACCTTTAAAAAAAATCTCACGGCACACTTGAACCCATACTTAAACTTTCATGTACACTTAAATTATGTTGATAAAAAAAGAGTAAAAAAAGAATACTATATATACTATGCTTTGAACTTCTTTCAAAGATAATTTAATTTAAAATTTTTTCTTAAAAATTTTTGCAGCATACCTCAGATCCTCTCATGGCACACCAGTTGAAATTCACTGCTTGAGAGGTTCCTCTGTCTGTCCAGCCCTGGCCCTTCTGCAGGCTTTGTGCCTCCTCCCCTCAGCTTCCTGGGCCTGGGTTCTGTGGGACCCAAGTCCTCTTCTGTGTGTGCCCGAGACATTTCTGATGTTTTGCTTTGGGGGAGGGAGAAGTGGAAGAAATGCACAATGCTGGGTGGAGGGGCAGGCAGAGGGTTGGGACTGGAGGAGGGAAGCTCAGGGGAGGAAGGCGTGTGGGTGTCATGGGCAGAGAAACCTCAGTCTATGACCTTCCCAACTCCCCACATTCATTTCATGCCCTCTTCCCCCCACCCACTCTAAACCAACTCAAACCTCCTTTCTCACTGTTTCCCTCACCTGTCAGACTTTTAGACTCCCTCTGTCCATGTCTGCCACCCTCTCATACTTGGAGCCTCATGTGACATGTCTCTTCTGCAAAGAAGCTTCCTGGGGAGCTTCCAGCCTCAGCTCAGGCTAAGCAGGAGGTCTTGCTGTTCTCCATCTATACCTCACATGGGCCCATCGTTGCACTTGTCACTAGTGAGGTTTAGGTGTTTGTTTTCCTCCCCAGACTGTAAGCTACAGAAGGGCAGGGGTGGGGATAGCCATTCATTCACTTGGCAAGTGTTCATTGAATGCCTAAGTGCTTCAGTGCCTGGCACCACACAGACAGAGGGGATAAGACAGTGTGTAGAAACTGACACATCCTCTCATGGCATCTGTGGGGGACAGACATATAAAAGAGTCACATGTACACATAGTAAGACTGCTGTCATGCCAGCGACATGTATGTTGTGCAAGTCCAAAGGTATCCTTAAGGAAGTGACAATAGAGCCAATACCTGAGGGGTGGCAACGTGCTTAGGAGGGAAATAAGAAGAGGTACAACTCCTCAGGAAGAGGCTTGTGCAAAGTCCCCGTGGCAGGAAGGAGCACAGTGAGAGTAAGAGGCAGAGAGAAGGCCAGAGGATAGAGCACAAGTGCAAGGGGAAGCAGGGAGCAATTTGAGGGGGCAGAGCTCAGCTGGACAGAGCAAGAGAGAAGCCAGGCCTGAGCCTGAGAGATGCCTGATGGCATGGGAAAGGATTTTGGGCCCCGAGTCTTGGCTCAGAGAGAGGCTTGGCTCTCCCACTTGTGACCTGTGGGCTTTCTTCCCCAGCTGCTCCTTCTTACCATCTCCATTTTCGTGGGGCTGGCCCAGCCCAGGAGCCCCAAAGGCAAGAGGAAGGGGCAAGGACAGGCTGGGCCCCTGGCCCCTGGGCCGCACCAGGTGCCGCTGGACCTGGTGTCAAGGATGAAACCCTATGCCCGAATGGAGGAGTATGAGAGGAACCTTGAGGAGATGGTGGCCCAGCTGAGAAACAGCTCGGAGCTGGCCAAGAGGAAGTGTGAGGTCAACTTGCAGCTGTGGCTGTCCAACAAGAGAAGCCTGTCCCCCTGGGGCTACAGGTAGGCTGGGCTGCAGCAGGGGCTGGCTGTCTTTCGGGTGCATCTTTTCCTATGTCCCAGTCTGTGTAACTGTTAAGACCTTGGCTTCAGTCACTTGGGTGCCTGGGTTTGGATCCTGCCTCTGCCTGTGTGACTTTTGGCAAGTTGATTAGCCTTTTCGAGGCTGTTTCCTCAATGTAAACAGAGGTGACAGTAGTACCTACTTCTCGGGCTATTGTTCAGTGAGATACTCATGCAGGGCACAGCTCTTACTGTTCTTCAAGTCCCACCTGAAGTGCCTGTGAGACCTTCCCCAGATGTCGCTTCCTCCACCTCCACTCTTCTCAGTTGTAGCATTTCCCTGGCTGTGTTCCTGTTTTTCTCTCATACTAGACCAGGACCTTCTCAATGCCGGCATCAGCATCCCCTCAGGATCCCATGGCTCACGGATTGAAATCTCCAGGGGAGGCCAGACAGTGGCCTTTCGTCTGTCTGTCTGCACATGCCTAGGTGGCACAGCAAGCATTGATCTGGGAATCCAGACCTGCAGCCCCGGGTTGACAATAGCTGTGTCCTACCTTGGTTATAGCTCCACATCCTGGCTCAGTGCCTGGAACACAGAAGGGGACAAATGCTTATGTGTTGAATGAATGATGAAGAAATGGGCTGACCCTCAAACTCACAAACCCAGGCCAAAGATTTTTTAGCCACACAACTTAGACCCCAAGTCTCTAGAATAGCACTGTTGACTGGAACTTTCTGTGATGATGTAAAGTCCAGTGTAGTAGCTCCTGGCCTCATGTGGTTATTGAGTACTTGAAAACGTGGCTGATGTGACTTGAGGAAATAATTCCAATTAATTTAAATGTAAATGACATATGCAGCTAGTGGATACTGTATTGGATGGTGCAGCTCTGGAATATGGCCCTTGGCAAGGTCAGTAAAGCGTCTCCAGAGCCAGGCTTTACAGACTTACTTTATTGTGCCCATGAGATCTTACAAAAATGCAGGTTCTGATTCTGAAGATTCTGCACTTCTAACAAGCTTCCAGTTATAATGAGGTGATGCTGATGCCACATGTCCACAGGTCTAATTCACCCACTTCCTCCTCCTACATTTTAGCAGGCCATGAAGGGACAGAGAAGAAAAGGTTGTAGAGCAGGTCTCTGTATGCTAGGCTCCATGAGAACCTGTCTGCTTTGTGCATTAGTGAACACCTGAAGTCTAGGGTACAACCACTTACATGGTGAGCCTGTTAAATGTACTTAAGTGAGTGGACATGAGGTCAGAACAGAATCCAGGCCTCCTGACCTCTCTTCCAAGTAGACATTAGGCATCGATATGCTCACACTTTATTTCTATAGATCGCTTCCCCAAAATGTAAACAAGAGGGGGGAGTAGAGGGAGCTGTGCGCTTCTCTGTGATTCCCTTCAACACAAGCTAGTACTGGGAGGGGCATCTTGCTGTATGAAAGAAGGAAACAGAGTGACCTTGAACCTGGATAACCTTGGGCACATGCTTGCTACTGATCTTCAGTTTCCTGATCTGGAATACAGAGGGGATTACTACCCTTCCTCCACTGGCAGAGTTTTGCTGGGGCATCAAAACCCTGTTAGGAAAGGCAGGGGTGTGAGGAGGGGCTATCCAGTGGCCTTTTCCTGACCTTCTTCCACCCTGTGCTCTTTCCTGTTCCCTGAAGCATTAACCATGATCCTAGCCGCATCCCCACGGACCTGCCTGAGGCGCGGTGCCTGTGTCTGGGCTGCGTGAACCCCTTCACCATGCAGGAGGACCGCAGCATGGTAAGCGTGCCCGTGTTCAGCCAGGTGCCTGTGCGCCGCCGCCTCTGCCCTCCCCCGCCACGCCCGGGGCCCTGTCGCCAGCGGCTGGTCATGGAGACCATCGCAGTGGGCTGCACCTGCATCTTCTGAGCCACCCAGCCTGGAAGCCAGCTGGTAGCTAGAGACCACCATCCCTGCACCCCTGTGTCTAGCAAGGCCTACAAAAAATAAACTCTGTCTTTGGAAAGCAAGACTTTGGGTTTGCTTCTTGTGGCTCCAAAACCAAAACCAGAGAAGGGTTAGGTAGGAGGTTCTCCAACACTGAGATAGCCTATTAAAAAAAATACAAAACAAAACTACATTCATTTCTACCATTTAGGACAGTAACATACATATTTCCTTAGTTTGGGTTTATCAGCCTATATTTGAGCCATGTTATTGTAGCTTGTTTTGTGTAAACCAATATAGGAGTTAACAGGAGCTAACTCTACCCAATTAAGTCAAGGTTGTTGGAAACACGCTCTCTTGAAGTGGGAGCTCCCCATCTTTGCAAGTGTCAGGTTAAAAGCTGAGCTTCTGAAGGATATTGTGAAGCAGACCTCTGCTCTGGTTGGAACAGATGATCTATAAGGTCTCTCAGTTCTGAGATTCTCTGCAGATCAGAATTAGGCACCCCCAAAAGGCCTCCAGGTTGCCAAAGAGCAGGTATTTTTAACTTAGGTCAGCAAGCCCCTTAATTTTTCACAAGTATGTATTTTTTCTGTGCTGAGGACCACTCGGTTTGAACACTTAAGAGTTGAGAAGGATCAGTGTAGATCATTCTTTGATCCAGTTCACAACGGGATCTGGAGTTAGATAGACAGTTGGTTGATGTCAGTGATTCCTGAATTTTAGCAAGCATCAGCATCACTCAGAGGGCTTGTGAAGGCACAGACTGCAGCCCTACATCTACAGGTTCTGATTCAGGCGGGAACTGATACTTTGCATTTTTATGCAGTGGTTTTTTCTTTTTGCATTTCTGATATAATTGTTCCTAGGTGATGCCAATGTTGCTGGTCTGGGGCTCATAGTTTGAGATCTATTGGCTTTTATCAAGACGCAGTGATAATCAAAAAAGGCAGTGTGGACTAACTTGTTCTGAAACCCATGCTGACTCCTGGCCCCTAAATACTAACTCCTGACATCCCCCATGAGCCCCTGGCAATTCAATCCTGCCCCCGGGCCCTCCAACTCCTGCACCATCCCAAATCAGCTGTTGTAGGGTCTAAAAATACTTTCCCTCCTCCAGGACAGCTGAGGGGCTCAGGCTATTTTCTGAGGGTAAGAATAGTTAGCACTTAGGGTCAATCTCAAAAAGGGCCAACAGCCCAGCATAGGAATACTTACCGGCTTCTCTAACTTTAGTGTTTGAAGTGGCTTTAGCACTGAATGTTTTAAGGGTCTAATTCATGAAAGGCGAATGGTTAGGTATGTGTCTGTCTGGGATGGTAAGTAACTTACCTTTTTTGGTATTGTTCTAGAGTGGATACTGGTTAAAATTACCCCAGGAGGCTTTCGCGTGGTTCTAGACAAATGGAAAATCGACTTCTTGTGCCAGCCCGTGCAGATCCCCATAGCAGCCACTTCACCATCCTTGGGGGCTCCTCTCTGAGACCCCACAGCCTGCTTTCTAGGTCTTAAGACTTTAGCCCCCTCATGAAAGGCGCACAGAATCCAAGGCTTTTTTTTGTGGGGTCAGCGAGTAAGAAGAATTGAATTGCAGGAAGGTTTTCCAGTACTGGGAGACCCCAGTTGCCCTAAGATATAGGGGTTGGGTGAGGGATGCCCCCATCATGGTGAGAAGGGTCCATCCTACTTTTACTGGAGCATCAGAAACATAGTAAAGGTCAGTTACTTTTATATGGATGACGCCTTTTCCTCTTTCTGGGCTTTAGTTTCCTCATCTGTGAAACCAGCAGATAGGATTTAGGGATCTCCAGGGTCATCTTCAGCTTAGAAGTCTGACCTCCTGAGCCTGGACACTGGTGTGCCAGCTGGCCCTTCCAGGCCCCTGCTTTAGAAGCAGCAGTAAGGAGTTCAGCTGGGTCTCCATGGCACCTGGGAGCCTCCTTTGGTCTGAGTCTAGATGTGTTTCATGTATCCCTCCATGAGATAAGGGCCACATCTGCCTTGTTCACTGTGGCATCTCTAGCACCCAGTACAGTGCCCTACATGGCATAGGGGTGCAGTGCTTAGTGAATGAATGCATAAAGGCCCCTGGGGAAGCCCAAAGTCTACCTCCCTCTAATGCACCTTCATAAGTGGGCCAGAGCAAGAAATTCCTTATAGCCCACCCCCTAGTCTACCTTCCATAGCTGCCCCTTGCCCCCAGAGTGCTGAAATTGTGTTTGGATCACCTGCTATAGGATTAACATCCACTATACCACATCTAGGACTACTGAGGATAAGTGTGGCCCCTTTTCTGTTTCATTTAGCAGATTATAGGGCTCTCCCTTCTTCCAGGGGGCTCTAGGCACTTGGGAACTTCCCAGGCCTAAGAAGGTTGGATGGGCCTTGGGCCAATGGCTTCCCATGGTTCTTATACTCCTTTCTGGAATCTCTATCCTTTTCTTCCTGCCTGCAAGGAAGGGAGATGATGAAATCCGACTCTTAGATTTGGGTTTAGAAGAGCAGGCAGTGTGGGCATTTTGGCCAGCTTTGTTTCTGAGCTGTTTGGGCCTGCCTGCCCAGGTAAAGGAAGTTTCTGAAAGATGTGGCTAGCTCTGCTGCAGTCATACTTGGACATGGAGCCAAAGACCTAGCTGACGGCCAAGGATCAAATGTAGCAGCTCTGGTTTGCATCTTGTGTGCATAGGTTCTCCTTAGGGTGGTTATCAGGGATAAGTTTTATATTGTCCTTGGTCCTCTGGTCTAGTATCAATTATCATGTTCACTGTGACAGTCTACTGCCATTTTCATTTCAAACACAGACCATCAAAAGGTACCATTACACACTGTCACTTCACAGGATGCAAGAGCCTTATATACATGTGCCTCTCTCTCTGCTACTCTTTCCCTTCTCTGATCTGACTGTTCTATGCCAACCAGCTTAATCTCATCTCCTGTGGCATGGTTATTGGTTTGGTATCTAAGTCCCAAGCCAAGCAACATGTAGCATTCCCTTGGCCACAGGAATTGGTTCAGGGGTGATCCAGCTGGCCCAGTGCCCAACATTTGACTCAGTGGCTATGGGAGAAGACCTTTTTATCGTGGGAGCTGTTGGCAGCTATCTTTGACCATGGGAAAAGTAGTGGAACTGAAGATCGCCCAGTTAGACTTAAGTTATGATAAACAACACAAACCTTTTATTGCTTAAGTCTGAGTTTGATTTTCTACTTTAAACAAAAGCTTTCTTACTGATGTGTCCATTTCAAAATTTCTATAGTAACCAAGTGTATGCTACTTATACACTCAGCACTCTACTGCCATTACTATCACCCTGGCATAGTGAAAACAACCCCAGAGCCAGTTTGGGCCTCCACCAATTGGAAGGATGTTTTGCCCAGGCTGGATTCAATTTTAAGGAGAAGCTCCAGAAATTTGAACCATTCTGTAAACTGATCAGGAGAACTTGAATAAGTTATTTCCTCAATTTGGAGATGATTTCTAAGTTCCTGTTAGGAAAGCTATAATATTAATGTTAGCATAATTTGGCAGTGTTGTTTCCTCTGGGTATCCATGCCCCACCCCCCCAAATCCTGATTTTGCAAGTCTGGAACTTAGGCTTCTGTTTCTTTCTTGATCCTTTCCCCAGATCCGAATGTGGCGGTTTGTCTATGCATCATACATACTGGGTGCCTAGGACTTAGTTCCTCTGTTCTCTTTTACAGAAAAGAACAAGTCCAAAAGAAATGAAAAGAACTTTTACTTTCTTTTCTAAAACTAATGATCTTTAAAGGTTTTTAGGCTCGATGGCCGTAGCTCAGTGGTAGGGTGCCAGCCACATGCACCAGGGCTGGTAGGTCCAAACCCAGCCAGGGCCTGCTAAACAACAATGACAACAATAACAAAAAAATAGCCAGATGTTGTGGTGGGCACCTGAGGTCCCAGCTGCTTGGGAGGCTGAGGCAAAGAGAAATCGCTTAAGCTGAAGAGTTTGAGGTTGCTGTGAGCTGTGACGCCACAGCACTCTACTGAAGGCGACATAGTGATACTGTCTCTAAATAAATAAATAAATAAATGTTTGTAGAAAAATCAAAGCACAATTCTCTCCTTTCAAACCAGTGTCGGAGGAGAAAGCACCAGGTTAATTTCCAGAGAACTCCATCCCAATACTTTTCCTTTCTTTCCTGTGCTAGGATGAATGTTTGGGGGTAAGATGTGACTGTGGTCATCTGGTGACCTGCCTTCTTTGTAAGACAAATCCATTGTGTTACCCCTCCATCTGTGCATAAAGAAGAGAATGGTCAATTCCTCCAGGGGCCAAGGAGAAGGTGCCTTCTTCCTGTACACCTTGATGTTTCTCATTAACCTCTGGTTGCCAAGAAGCATGGAGCTATACTGATGGCTTTTCTTTGGGTCCTACCAGTCACCTCCTCCAATATGCAGTGCAGCTGAGAACCTTGGAAGATGGCATCTAGTTAGTTCTGAACTAGTGACCTCATAACTAGCAAACCCACAGCCAATAGGAACTATTATCATTCTTAGGTTTTTCTGATTTTTCCTTCTACTTATTTACAACCATCTGGTTATAAATATTTTCTTGTAGGTCTCAATTGGCTATCCATTTTGGAAGTAGGTAGTAAAATAAAAAAAAAATAATGAGACTCAAAGTTCTCTGCCTTACAGTCCCTCCCACAGCCATCCCAGTTCCTAGTTAGAAAACCAAATCAGAAGCAGCTTGAGAAGATGGACTTTTATTTCTTCTTAAAAAAAATAAATAAAACAAATATACTGGCTTGAATTTCCTTCCCTTTTCTTACTTTCCCCTTTAAAAAGAAGAAGCAACCACTGTGAGAATCCTTGGGACAGGCAGACAGAGGCCTCTTGGACCCACCGTGGAGGGAGATGCTCGGTACCAAGGCAAGTGCGCCTCAATCAGCCCTGGGCTGCTGGGTGTCAGCCATCTTCAGTGGGGGGGTGGAAGTTCCCAGGCTCTCCCCAGACCCCTCACAGTTCAGTCTTAACCTTGTGCATCAAATCCTTTTGGTCAATTTTGTCAAGGTCCTGGTACCAGCGGTTGTAAGCCAGCAAGGCCACATTCTTGGCAGCTACAGCCATCACCTCCACAGAGCTGGCTGCCCACTCCAGGGCATTGAGGTAGAAGAGCTGGTCGTGGAGCGCAAACCTTGGGAGAGTGGGGCGGGAGCCGTACAGGGGGTGGGCTTTCCACTCAGCTGTCTGGACGGAGTAATAGGAACGGAAAAGGGTCTTCAGCTGGGTCCGAAAGAGGGGCTTTGGGGACTGGACTCGCCAAACAGCTGCCTCCTGGGGCTGCTTCCGCCGGAAGTTGGCTGAGATGTTGACAGGACAGATGTTGTCCAGAGTGCAGAAGAAGCTGGGGAAATCTGTGGTAAGGATGCTGGCAAAGGGGAAAAGCTTAGGGTCTGGGAAACCAAAATAGGAAGAGTTGAGATAGCCGTGGACCAAGGAGACGATGCTGGTTTGGAATGAGCCCTGGACGTCATCAATGGGTGGGTTGAAACCTTCAAAGGTGAAATTGCTGCTGTTGCTGTCCAGGTACAGAGGGGCGGCAATGACCACAATGTCATACAAATCGGAGCTGTTGCCTACTTCATTCTCATATCCTACCTGGTACAGGGCTTTCCCTTCTGGAGGTGAAAAAAGGCAGCAGAAAAGTCAACTTGCTCCTTTGGCTTCTCCCCACCAAGCTTTCACCTGGTTTCCCGCATTGCGGGTACAAAGAGACCCTGGCACCAGAAGTACAGCTGGGCTGTCTCAGTGGTGGACCTAGTCTCTTTCTATGCTAGTAAAATCACAGGGTGAGCACCAGACTGGGAGTCAGAAAACCCAAGTTGTTCTCTGGTTTTGCCACTGACTGGCTGGGGAGCCTGAGGAGGCTGCCAGAAAGAGGCTAGACTGATTAAGTCTCAGCTTCCTGGCTCTCACATTTGAATTGAGACAACAGCACCCTCTAGTGTCCCTTGGCAGGCTGGGGCTTCCCACTGAGATTTAGCAAATATTCGCCAGCACAATAGACCAAAGCTGAGCTACAGGGGAGGCAGAGTGTCTGCTGGCTAGCAATGTTGTGGATGGTCACGCCTCCTGCTCTGTCCACTCACCTGTGCTGTGCAGGGTCACAGAGGTCACTGTGGCATGGATCACGTTGGCCTTGGTGAGCTTCAGCAAACCGGAACAAACCAGCTTATTGCCTCCCTCCACAGACCACAGGTTGCCTTGGGCTCCGGCTAGTGACATGGCTCCTGGGCAAAGCAGAAGAGGGCCGGTGGGTTCTCAGAACCACCAGACGGTGGGCTGGGAAGTTTAGCACTATTCTACTGGGCTCTAACTGTGGGCACAAGGAGTCAGCAAACATACAGACAAATACGACAAAATTTACCACGCTGTGAGGTGAAAACACTGTTCTCAATGAAAGAGTTAGCTTTGAGAACGACCACATATTGCATGATTCTATTTTATACAGAATGCCCAGAATGGGCAAATCCATAGAAATAGAAAGTAGATTTGTGGTTATCTTGGCTGGAAGACTGGGGGGAGTGATGGTTAAAGGGAATGGAGTTTCTTTTTTGGGTGATGAAAATGTTCTAAAACTGATCATGGTGATGATTGCACAATGTTGTTAATGTACCCCAAGCCACTGAATTATATACTGTGAATGGGTAATTGTATGGTATGCTATGAAGGACACACACAGGACAATGGAAAGAGAGAGAAGCCACACTGAGGGGACACGGAGCAGGACCTGATGGCTAGGAAGAAGCCAGTGTGTCAAGGGCTAGACAGACGGGGTATCCTGGTCACAAAGGAGGTACCTGTTAATACAATACAAGCCTTTCCATTCGTCAGTGTAGCAGGGATGTACTGACTGCCTGGTATGATGCAGGCACCGTTCTAGTGTTTGGGATGCATTAGTGAACACTAGACAAAGTTTCCTACCTTTGTGAAGTCTACATTCTCTGCTGTCATGGCCTGTGCTGGAGGTAGGCTATGCACAGGCCTATCTACCCCAGTAATGATCTGGGAAGATCAGATGCTCAAACACATGAACACCCAGGGACTCAGGGGTCATTTCTTTGAGCCAAAACGTGGCCAGCGGAGCACCACCTCATCGTTAACATGGATGCACACGAGAGATTATGAGGCAATCAGGAGTGACAGAAACACCCTGAGCCTCTGATCTGAGCCTTGCTTTCACTGTCTGTGGAAATGGAGTGAATGCCATCTCCTGCTAACTGGGAGGACCAATGTCAGAATCAAATGGGAATGGGGCAGCAAAGTGCCTAGGCACTGTGATGAGCCGGATAAAGGTGAGGTTATCACAGGGGCCCAGCCCGTTCTGGGCACCAGGGGCAGGGCATGGGCAGGTGGCAAGGGCTGGATGCTCACCAGCAAAGGCAGGCATTGCTGCCGATTGGCCATAGCTGGCCCTCAGGACAGCAGAGACGACGTCGTCAATAAAGCGCTGTGTGACGCCCACCTGGAGCAGGGACTCGGTCACAGAGCGCTGGGTCATGTTGACAAAGGCAGATTCCCCCAGAGAGTAGAGCAGCTCCTCCACGCCCGAGAAGGCATAACCATGGGCCTGGTACTTATAGATCCTAGAAGACAACAGAGATACCGTCCTTGTGCAGAAAGGCTTTTGGCTGACGACCTGCCGCTGGGTCCCTGTGCCAGAGAGGTCCACCGGGAACTTGGTACCTCCTTTACATAAAGAAGGATGGGAGAGGAGGCGGTTATATTCCTGTTGGTCTGCTCTCTGCCTGTAGTGGGTCTGTCTCCCCTAAAGGGACAGCGTAGACGTAAGGAATCCCACTAGATCTGGTTCACATCATGGCTGCAGAATGACAACTGTGTCACCTCTCTGAGCCACTGGCTCCCTGAGGTCACAGTCCATAGGCCTTTTTTCACTCAGTTGGGCCTGCCGGGCAGCAGTGGCCATGACTATCCCCTGCTGACACAGCCCCTCTCCCCCCAACAGCGTTGGCTCTGCCCTTGCTTTTAGGACCTGATGGCAGAAGCCTAATGCCAATACCGTTGCTCTCTCTGCTAGCTCAGCCTGTCTTCTCCTTTGGTTTGATCAGACAGGGCTCCCACTCATTCCCACATCTTGTCCCTCTATTGCTCACCTAATCTTAGGGACTGGCTGGCCTTTGATATGTTCCCTACTTTGGGGCTGCTTTGTAAACATCCTGAGTTTGGTTTCAGTGGGACACCAGATGATGTCCTGAAAACAGACAGAAATGTGGGTCAGGAACTGAGGGGGAAAGTAGAGTTGATGGGGAGAAGTTATCTTTCACAAAAGGGAGAAGTCAAGATTATAGGTCTGGATAAAGTGACAAAGGAGAAAAGTATCAGACAGAAAGAGGGGTAAGGCATAAGCTTTAGGGGGCCGTCTGGAGGATATAAGTGCCCTTAACAGCACAGTTATAGGGGAGTGGAGAATGGGCTATGCTTGCGTGCCTGGCAATGAAGGAGGCGAGACTGGGTCTGAGGAACAGCCTCTGCACCGGGCAGGAAGCAGTTAGAACCTTCAAGAGGGAATCCAGAGGAAAGGCAAGTGACAACTTGGTGAGCGACAGGATGGAGTGAGAACCGAACATGTGTCCTCCATGCCTGAGACCCAAGGTGATAGGGAGGGGGTGGGACCATGATGGAAAAGCTGGAAGTCAGCAAAGTTTGGAAACAGTGACCCACAGGCCGCACTGCATCTGCACTGTTTGAAGATGTGTTGGTTTGGGAGACTTCATATTACCCTGGATTTCCAGCTTCTGCGAAACTGGAAGATGTAGCCACATGAGATGGGCGTTGCACATGGCTGGCCCCAGCCAACTGCAGGGGGATGCTGGCTGCCTCCTTCAGACAGGGCTTTGTTCCGCAGCTCACCTCCTCCCCTCTGCCCCTGTGCTCTTTTACCTGCTGTTTCCCTGTCTCACATCCTGGTTCAGCCTTGCAGGTGACTGTATTTGCAACTCATGCTTTTATCAGGGTAGCAGAGGGACAACACCAGAGAGACCAGCCCTGCACCCAATAAGGCCATTCCTCAGGCCAGGGTATGGCCTATTCCATTCCCCTTGCTCTCAGCCTGCACAGAATTGTGCTGGGCTCTCACAACCAGCAAGGACCTCTTCCTTTTTCATAAAGCACCATCAAGCTGGTTCCTTCCCTGCCTTCTCCCCTCCCCCTCTGGAGCACCCTTCCCATGGGTCTAGCTCCAGCTCTGCCAGCCCTACCTCATAAACTTCTCCATGACCTCCTCCACCCACATCTGCAGCCTCAGGAAGCTGATGCCGTAGTGCCACCAGAGGCGGAAGAGGTTCAGCAGGTACCAGTCAGTCTCCTCCAGCACGAAGTGCTCCCCGCTAAAGATGGCACTCCTGCCCACCACCTCGCGCCGGTGCCTCAGCCCTGTGGAGATGAAGAGGAGGCCCTCAAGTCCCCTTCGAAGATTTGGGGCCTTCTTGCTGCAAGTGGACATGGTCTGTTCATTTGTGTTGCTTGTTTATAAAGAGCAAACAGATGCAACTGGGAAGGTGTTTATAGCCTTCCTAGTCAATCAAAAAGTGAAAACAAAATTACGTACTGCTTTACATTTTTTTTCACTTTATATTTTTTTCAACAAGGATCTATCTCACTAAGCCACTAGCAGGAGAAATTCAGATGTCATCCCAGAATGTCCAGGGGCTGATAGCTACAGGACTTGCTTTGAGATGGCAGCCCTAGGCACCAAGATCACATAGAAATCACAGCTCCTCATAGTCCTCCTGTACTCTACAACTTACAGAGCAATGGATTCCTAAATAAGGATATATCCACTATGAGCTATTCCTTCTCTTACTCCCACATACTATATATGCTGCTCTGCACCTTAACAACATACTGCATCTTGGAGTATATTATACCTGGCAAAAGGCCTTCCCTATTCTGGCTGCTGAATAAAGACTGTTTATTTATTTCTTTATGAGACAGAATTTTACTTATTAACCCTCGGTAGAGTGCCATGTGTCACAGCTCACAGCAACCTCCAACTCCTTGGGCTTAGGCAATTCTCTTGCCTCAGCCTCCCCAGTAGCTGGGACTACAGGCGCCTGCCACAATGCCTGGCTATTTTTTTGTTGCAGTTTGGCCAGGGCTGGGTTTGAACTCGCCACCCTTGGTACATGGGGCCAGCGCCCTACCCACTGAGCCATAGGTGCCGCCCCTAAAGACTGTGTATTTATTCAATAATTTTTTTTTAAACCCCAGTTCCCAGTGGGTAGACAGTGTTTGCTATTACAAACAATGCCATAATGAATAACCTTGTTTGTATGCAACTTGGCATATCTGCCAAGACCACCATTAGGTTCATTTCTGAGAATTGGAACTTCTGTGTCAAACAGTGTGTAGTTGTGGTTTTGACCAATGCTGCTGGATTTGAATCCCAGCTCTCTTGCTTATCAGCTGCATGGCTTTAGCTGAGGTACATACATTTTCTGAGCCTCAGTTTCCTTAGGAGGACCTCTAACATATGTCTTATAGTCTGGTAGGGAAAACTGAAAGTAATTCCTACATACCACCTAGAAGGGTGCCAGGTATCTGGCCCCAGCTTACGGACAATGGTATCATCATGATTATTTCGAGGCAGCAAATTGAAAGGGAAAGAAACTGGCCTGGGAGTCAAACCTGAGTTCTAATCCCGGCTCTGCAACTAACTCACTGTGTAACCTCAGGCAAGTTCCTTCCCCTCTCTGGTCTCAGCTGCTCCATCTGTAAAATGAGGAGATTGGGCTACATGACCTCCTGGACGTGACAGTCTAGGCAGTCTGGGAAGGGTCTGACACTGCCGCCAGTCCCAGGGTGCCAGGTGCTGAAGCCCCAGGACTGCACTCACCGAGGAGCTTGACGAAGTCCTGCATGTGTAGGCTCAGGGAGTGGAAGGAGGCGGCTCCGCTCTCATAGTGCTGCTTGTTGACTGATATGGTGGCCAGGCGGCCGCCGACAGTCCACTTCTCATAAACATCGATCTGCACCCGGGGTCCAAAGTGCTGCTGGAGGAAATGGGCCACAGCAGAGCCCCCGATTCCAGCCCCAACCACGGCTGTCAGCAGGCCCAGGAGGCAGTCAAGGGAAAAAAACAAGAGTATGGGAGTGAGAGGCTGCAGCCCACACCTTTTCCTCCTCCTCCTCCTGCACTGGTAGTTCCCAGGCACTTGTATTTCACAGGCTTTCAACATTTCAAAAACAAAAGTAGCAGACTGGCTTGTCAGTAGAGCTATTACTAATACAGAAAGGCAAACCTGAAATTGCTTCCTTCATTTTAAAAAAGATATTACAGCAGCAAAACATTTCAAAATTCAGGATGACCTCTTCAGGGAAATAAACTTAGTTTTATACAACTCATTGCATTGTTCCAAATTTTCTTCTTTCACTATGAATTGATAAAAATAGCTACTGAGCAGTTCTGTTTGGTGGTTCAGTGTTTGGAAACCACTCCTTATTCCAGGGGTTGTAAAACTACAGCTTGCAGGGTAAATCCAGGCAGATGCCTTGTTTTAGAAAACAAAAGTTTTACTGGAACTCAGCCATGTCCTTTCCTTTACTGATTATCTATGGCTGTTTTCATGCTAGGAAGAATTGAGTAGTTGCAGCTGGTCTGCAGAGCCTAAAATATTTGTTCTCACGGCCCTTTTCAAAAAGTGTGCTTACCCCTGGTCTAAACCAACCTGCCACCTGACATTTAGATCATTTCTATGTCTGTGTTTACCAAGACTGGAATGCAACCTAAGATGGGTTGCTCAATACCTTATAGGGCACTCCAACGCAGTTTGGACTCTTGTCACTAAGTTTCAGCTTGCTGAGGTCTTTTTTTGGGTCTTATCATTCATTCACTGTCTTTAATACACCTCCCGTCTTCCGCTATTTACAAACCTAGATTACATATCATCGGTATTCTCATCGAAGTCACTATTAAAACCATTTTGCTGGACAAGGCTCAGAAATGCTAGCAGGAGTTGCTGCCTAGACAGATACTAACTCTGTGAGAGAACGGTGAGCCAGCAATGAAGCTACTGACCTGGACTACCACCTTACTTATAATTTTTGCCTACTCTGTTCTGAAACACTGCTTTCCTCTCATCTCATAGTCCAGTAACCCTATTCAGAAAGAAAATGAGATAAATCTCATGTAATTTGTCCTTACTGGACCCATGTCGGACCCTAGGACCACCATCTCCTGCCAAGTAGTGATAGGCAATTCTCAGACAATACTAGATTGAGATGTGGCCACCCTTTACTTATTCCCCTCCCTCCCAGCACTGCACCTTATCTGTGTAGACTTCCTTTAATATGGGCCATGCTTTTGCTGGAGTTGCTCCCTTTGTCAGGAGTACCGTCACCCTGTGCCTGACAGCCCTCAGATGTCACCTGTAGCTTGGCTTGACTGACCCACCTGAGATGAGTCAGGATGTCACTCCTGCATATTCCCACAGCACACTGTGCTTACCTAAGCCACATTGTATTTAAATGTTCTGTTTTAGGACACAGAGAGAGCACAGTCACTATGTTCCCGGATCCTAGCAGGCGTGAGAGTTCATGAAGTACTTTTTGTATGTTGAAAGAATAAACCATTTCCTCTTTCTCAGTATTTACAAAGCCACCTTCAAGAATGCTCTTAATCTGTAGGCACTGCGCTTGCCTCCCCTCCTTTTGTAAAGAGTCCCAAATTACCCATTTTTTTTTCAGAGAACTTATATTACAAAGCCCAGAAGCTGCTCAAGAGCTATCAGAAAGCAGAAGACATCAGCTCATTCAACACACACAACTGACACCCACTCTTTGGTTTATGGTGTCATGCTGGGGCACAGAGATGAATCAAACAGGGCTTCTGTACCCCAGGAGCCCAGCATGGAGCGGGCATACAGAGTGATGCACAATTAGCTATGACAACTTGTGACAAAGTACAACTACAGGGTTGCAGAAAGTCCTGGGGAGGAGGCAATGAATTCTGCCCCAGAGGGTGTGGGGACACAGGCTTCACAGGGGGAATAACACTTGATCCCGGCTGCTGGCGGACAATCAGCTTTGCTAGTGAGCAGAAATACATACTCTGCAGATAAAACAGCATAAGCTGGGCAGGGTGTGGAACTCTATGGCTGGGTTTAAAGGATACTGATGCCACACAAAGTATTCAGATCTGATCCTGCAGGAGCCTTAAGGATCAAGATGTCCTAACAGGAAGCTTCTCTTTCTTGTTGTGGGTAGAGTCCAAACCACAAAGGGCGGACAGAAGCTCCTGTCAGAGGACTGAGGAAAATCAGGAAAGCTGAACAGCAGTGTGGTGTTGCCATAGTGCAGCTGTTCTTCTGGGAGGAGGTCCTGATCCTTTCCTCAATGGAGAGAAATGTCCTCTCCTGCTGCCTGTTCTTAAGAAAATGGTAAGTGCCCTGCACCCTTGGATACTGCCTGCCTAACTCTTCCCTACCCTCCTCCAAAGCCTAGCTCAAAATCTACTTTCTCCATGAGGTCTTCTCTAGCTCTCAGGATTCTCTTTCCTCACAAAGCCCTACACTCTCAGTCCCAATCTGATTTCTGACATGGTTCAGTCAATCTTAGCCCTTAATATCCTGGGCTGTGGTTTTGTAACACAGAAAGCTTTGGCACTGCCTTAGTCCCTGTAAGTCTATGATGCTCCCACGAGATGTCCCAAGACACTTCTGCCAGATGAAGGGTAACCTAGTAAAGTAGGGACTCTGTCCTCCCACTCCAAAGCCTAGCATCTCTGCCTGTGGGAATTTTATGGGCAAGAGACTTGAAAATCTTCATGAGTCATGTAGAATTAAAATGACAATTGCTGGGGGTGGGGAAGCAACTGTAACACATATGGAACTCTAGTTGATGATATGCATGATGCTGTATTTAGCAAAGCATTCTGATGTCTGCAGGCTAGTTTGAAATGCATCAAAATGTAAGATGGATTCGTGGATGGACAGAAGTATGTGTGTTAGGTATGTGGTAAAGGAAGTAGATTAGCAGTTAATGGCGGAATGCAGGTGGTGTGGGTATACAGATGATTACTGTAAAAAAATTTTCAATTTTGCTGTACGTTTGAAAAGTTTCAAAATGAAGTACTGGAAAACCACACAAATAATACACAAATAAATCGACTTATTAAAAGTTCCCCACTCAGCAAAATCTCCAGCAGATCTACTGTCTCTATAAAGAAAGACTGTCTACTATGTGCCCAAGGCTCTGGCTTAGGTGTTACTTCCAGAAAGCCGTCCCTGGGCCACAAAGACTGGGGTGCAGCGCCCTTCCTCTGTACTCTCCCTACTTTCTCAGCTCAGCATGGACTTCCCGGTATTGTGAGGTCTCCCCTCCAAGCAGGAACTAGAGCACTATGCTACACAGATGGCCCTCAACAAATCTTTGTAAATGCCACTGTCCAGCCCCTGTCCTATATCATCCAGGCGCCTAAGGAGTCGGGTCCACGCTAGATGTTCAGCGACACTGGACCTTTGGTGAGATCAGCGACTAGTCCTGTCCAGGCCTCTTTTCTGTTTCAGGTGACCCTCTTTCCATGCCCATACCACCCTCCCCATCACCACCGGCCCTACTGCGACCCCGTCCCTTGCCCAGTCCACGTTCCTCGCCTTTCCTCCACCCAGCTCCTCTCTGGAGCACCCATCCTCACCTGGTCGCCCGCCCTGCCCCCACCCAGCTGCTGCAGGCTGAGAACCCTTTTTCCGCCCCTCCTTTCCCAGCTCGACACCACCCCACCCCACCCCGCGTCCTTCCCGCACCGATTTTGCCGGGCGGGGCGTCTCCGCCTGCAGCGGCTGCGGCGAGGAGCACGGCCAGCGCGGCGAGGAGCGGGACAGCGCGGGCCATGGCTGGCGGCAAGCGGGGCAGCACGCCGGGGTTCGGGCGCTCGCGGGTTGGCGCTCTGTTCACCGCCCCGCCCTGGCGCCCACTGGCCGTCCCGCCTTCCAGCCTCGCTGATCCCATCCTCTCATTGGCGGAGCAGCCGTCCCTTTCCAGGAAGAGGCCCTCATTAGCTACATGGCTCTTGGGGCAGGCTCTATCATTGGCAGCCTCTCTGTCCCGCCTCCTGAATTCGGGTTTCTCACTGGCTGGCTTATCCTTGCTCCGGCGCAGGTGTGTGTGCCTCTGGTTCTCAGCATCAGGACCAGGGCCCAGCGGGATGGAAGACCTCGGTTTATGTCCAGCCTCTGAGTTACTAGCTCTGCAATATGCCTTTTGTGTGTCTCACTGCTTTCTTTTTTATAAAACGGACCCAATAGTCCTGCTTCATCTTTCTAGGTGGTTGTGACAATCACGTGGGATAAGGGCTGTGAAACCGTTTGGCAGTTCTGCCAGTGCTGAAACTTGCTGACCAAGTATGCAGCCAGGGTGGGTAGAGGCTATCCTATGCATATGCTTCGATACTGCCGTTTTTGTGTGTACTTTTTATTTAGTTAATATCTGCCTTCTAATTCTTAAAATAGGGAATAGTTTCATTGAATCTCTTTTCAGAAGGAAGAAAAGGTAAAAAGGACGGGATAAGCTCCCATTTTCATCCTAAGAGAATAAGAACAAGTCAGTTCATTCTTTCACAGCGTGGTTTACCATGCTGTGAAAAACAGATTTCCAATGGCAGAAAATACAGCTAGGGGGATGGGTTTCAGAATAAAGAAAATCAAATATATATATATATATATATATAAACAAAAAAAAAAAGAAAAAATACAGAATAAAGAAAATCTATATTTATTCACTCAGATTATGGCAAAGGGAAGAAACGAAGAGATTCAGAGAATTGGTGAAAGAACTTACTGCTGGGGCTCTAAGTCAGCTTTGTGAGTCTGAATTTAATAGAGCCAAAGCATTACTACAGGTAAAATGGTCAATGAATAGACATACATTTCTCATAATCTTTTCTAAAAATTTTTTGGCCAAGTGCAGTGGCTACCGTCTGTATCCTAGCACTCTGGGAGGCCAAGGCAGGTAGATTGCTTGAGCTCAGGATTTGAGAACGGCCTGAGCAAAGTGAAATCCTGTCTTTACTAAAAATAGAAAAATTAGCCGGGCGTTGTGATAGGCCTCTGTAGTCCCAGCTACTTGGGAGGCTGAGGCAAGAAGATCTCTTGAGCTCAAGAGTTTGAGATTGCTGTGAGCTAAGACACCACATCACTCTATCCAGGGTGACTCTGTCTCCTCCCCGCCTCCAAAAATATAAAATTAAAAAAATTTTGTTTTTGCAATTTTTGTGTCAGTACGCAACAACTTTTAAGTTCATTTCCAAAGAGTCAAGATATTCTCTGAAAAAGTTTTTTTTTTTTTTTGAGACAGAGCCTCAAGCTGTCCCCCTGGGCAGAGTGCCGTGGCATTACAGCTCACAGCAACCTCTAACTCCTGGGCTCAAGCGAGTCTCCTGCCTCCGCCTCCCAAGCAGCTGGGACCACAGGCGCCCGCCACAACGCCTGGCTATTTTTTGGTTGCAGCCATCATTGTTGTTTGGCGGGTCCAGGCTGGGGATTCGAACCCGCCACCTTAGGTGTATGTGGCTGGCGCCTTAGCCGGTTGAGCTATAGGCGCCGAGCCTGAAAAAGTTTTAAAAACAATTCATTGATCCCTTTGTACTAAATTCTTGTATGTATTGACTTATTCTGATTCTTGTAGGGTTTTTTTTGTAGTAAGATTAAATCATATTGATGTTAAAATTTATCTTAAATTATAAAGAAAACAGACTGATGAGTTCTCGAGAGTGAGCAATCCAAAGTGGAGGGACTGCATCTGGTGAAAGCCTTCTTGCTGGTGGGTATGCTCAACAGAGTCCTGAGGTAGTACAGATTATCACGTGGCAAGGAGGCAGAGCCTGCTAGTGTCTAAAATTTATCTTCTTGACTCTGCTTATAATTTTAGGGTCCTTTGTAATTCTTGAACCTGGAGTTATTCTAGCATCCCGATGACAGTATATTAACTCATCAGAATTGTAAGACAAATTCAAAAGAACTGATAAGAAAAAGGTACAATTCTGGTGCCATCAGAGGCTAGGAATGAGGCAGGGTGACAGAATTAGTTATCTATTTTGTGTGTATAATCATGCCAAAAGTTATTGGCTTAAAGTAGCAATAGTCGTTCTTGTCCATAAATCTGCAATTTGGGCAGGACTCAGGTGAGATCAGTTCAACTGTTCCACGTGGTATCATTTGGGGCTGTTCCCCTGGGGGAAGAATCCACTTTGAAGATAGCTCAGGGACTGGCAAAAAGGCCCTGGTTCAGCTGAAAATTTAGCCTAGGGCCCTCAGTTCCACTCCACAAGAGAATTCAGCTTGCTTGCAGCATGATGGTTAGGTTCCAAAGTTAAGCCTCCCAGGACAGGAAGTGGGGCTGGCAGTTTTTTAAAAGGTTTGGGTCTAGAAATTGGGAGTGCCACTTCCACTGTATTCTAGTAGTCAAGCAATCACAAAGCTCCAAGATTCAAGGAGAATGGACATAGGCCCTAGCCCTCAATATAGGTGTCAAGGAATTCTGGATCCACGTTTTAAATCCATCACAGTGAACTTGAGGGTGTGGACAAAATCTGCATGAAGAAGACTAAGAATGTATCTACCAACTAGCACTGGTATGGAGCCAGGGTGAACAAATGGGATTGGATGATTGATGAAAATATAAGGCCAAATCCCAAGAAAGGTTGGTTCCAGAGGGCCATTCAACTAAGAGGCTAGGTATATGGAAACCAGCTAAGAAGCAGCAGTACAAAGACCAGGCAGTCAGCAGTTGAAACAGATGGGTGTACTGATTTGTACCAGTAATTCTAGCTACTCAAGAGGCTAAGGCAGGAGGATGGCTTGAGCCCAAGAATTTAAGACCAGCCTGAGCAACATAGTGAGATTCTGTCTTTAAGAAAAAGCTGGTAAGGGCAAATGGAAGCTGAAGGTCAGAACAAGGTCACATGCCAATAATCTGGTTAGAATGGTCAGGAGTCCAGCAGTACAAGTGCAGTAGTCAAAGCAGATAATAGAACCAGGAAGCAAACCTAAGAAAATAAGGCTATGCAGAAAGGCAGGCAGAAATAGTCCAGAACCAAGAAACAGGAAATCAGAAAGAGGCAAGTCAAGGAGACAGAAAAACAGATTTTAACCCCAAGGCAGGGTGTAGAAAGTCTACACTACATTCACTTGGCAGTGGTGTTGTTAGATCTCAGGATACCTCTCCTTAAGTGACCTTATAACACACCAGACAGTATGAATTAGGCAAAAACTCCACACACATGAACTGCAGTTATTTCAATTTATATTTTATTAAAACTGTGTCTGAATATTATCTTCCACCCTTAGTTTTTTCTATTTGATTTTGCTTTAGTGTTTGAAGAACTTTTCATTTATCAAATCCTTTGCCATGTATGAGAGCACCGAGTAACGTCAATATTAAATTGACTGATTCTTTATAATAGTAAGAAGTCTGTTGAAGATTTCTAGAATCCAAGTACTAAAACACCAAGATTTCCCCTTCAAGTGAGCCAAAGCTTCCTTACCGATCATTGGTAAGCCAATGTTTTTCACTGTACCATTCAGGGGCAAATAAGAAAACTTAAATTCTTAAGAATTTTCTTGCTCTTTCAGTCTAAGAATGTGGCTTTCTTGTGGTGTAGTTAATAAAACCCCCCAGAAACTGGAAGGACAGTAAATCACTGTAAATGATTAGCTTACAAGTTTTTTTACAGTCATTACTTAACTAGTCTTTCCCTTTACTTTAGCTATAAAAAAGCAGGAATAATGTGCATGATAAAAGAAAAATAATTATCTGGGGGCCTACTGCAGTAGGCAATTAACACATTTCATTCACTAGTCACAATGTCATTCCAGAATTGTAACAACCATTTTACAAACATGCTCAGGAGGGTGAAATGGCAGGTGTCCAAAGTCATACAGGTGACTGAACTGGGATTTACACTGACCATGCCTATGCTCTACTATGCTGCTCTGGCTCTCTTAAACCTTTTAAACTTAAGATTCTTACTATTTTAGATTCATCTTCTAATTCTAAATTTCTTCTTTTAAGTCTATAAAACTACTGAATAATCAAAGAATCAAAAATTATTCTCAATCTACCTGCAAAAACAGGAATGGCTAATTCTAATTCACTGGTAGAAATGAAAAAAAAAAACACACACAATTGGCTCATTTTCTTCTTGTCAGAATCTGTCAGTCTCAGAAACAAAGAAAAAAGGACAATTTCCTATTGTGAAGTTTTACTGTTCATTATATTTACGTTATGTACTTAGTGGGATGCCAAAAGAGGCTCTAGTTTTAAAATCTTCACGCTAGTCTTTTAATTGCGTTTTAAAAGTGCATATTTACTTGTTTTTTAAGTGTCTAAATCTGATGAGATGGTAGAGCCCACAGGGGGATGCCTTTATTAACACATGTCTGTTTAGTGTTTTAGAATTATCCATGTCCAAGAAGGTAACTTTTATCACCCCACTTTATGAGTCAGACTTCCAGTAAAAGTGGTTTTACCTTATGGGTGACTGAAACCTAATCTTAAGCATCTGGACATCCAGCAACATCTCATTGTCTTCTGGGGACTTATCTGCATGTCTATTAATCTTACATGATTGAATTTAACATTTACTTGTTTCTAATTCAAGTTCTTACTGAAATTTAGTCTACAGGTTTTTTCCTCTTTGAGTCCAGAACTAAAAAGACTAGATTTTCACACGTCAGGAGAAGCAGAAAGGATGAGTTTAGATCATTAAGGCTTCCACCAACATCAAACTATTCATAATTGACCTCCTTTCTAAAGTCTGATGTACCATTCATTCATTAAGTCTTTTATTAGACAACTTCTTTATAGAACACCGGCTATAAGCAAGACTGGAAAAAATAAACATATTAAACATATAAGTCCATTAACTGTAGAACATTAATGTACAAGGGAACTAAATGTTTATATAAATGTGAACTAAGACAGATATAAAAAATAGGAAATAAAGCTTGTCAATGAAAGAGAGGTAGTAATTTGTTCAGTACCAATTAAAAAATTTTTTTTTCCACAGGCCACGATGGCACATGACTATAGTCTGAATTACTAGAGGGGCTGAGCACAGGAACTACAAAGCCAGCCTGGGTACCACAGCAAGACCATGCATCTGTGGAATTAAAAAAAAAAAGAGGTGGGGAGGGAAATTTGCTAAGAAGGGAAGAGAATACTTGTATCACTAATAATAATAAAGACGAGTAAACTTTCAAAGAAAAAAACCTTTCAATGTAACTAAATGAAATGACAAATTGTGGGAACCTAACATTCTTGTCCTGATAACCCTCCCTTATAATCTAATAAAGGATTATAAGGCAAATCTAAAAGAGGCAGAGAAGTAATGGCTAGTGGAATGAGATGTAGGTAAATTAGCTTTTGGTGCTGCCTCAGTTTGCCTGAAATGATTATAATAAACCAAGGGAGGCTGAAAATAATTTAAAGATAACCCAGAACAAAGTAAGCACAAGGTTTCTTGGCCATCCTTGCTCAAAAGGGATCTGGGTATCCTGAATTTCTTAATGCTCCTTGTCTTCCAAGTCTTGCCTGGGTGTTTAGCCCCTGCAGTTGGGAATCTGAGAAGGGTGAGTATGGGATGATGGGAGCATGAAGCATACCTAGTAGGGACTATAAGGATAAAAGATGGCTAAAGGAAAAATAAAAAAACAAAAAGGGAAGTCTTGAAAACCTATGTGTATAAAAATCAGCCCAAACGATTACTTTGTACAACCATAAAGCAAAATTCAAGATACTATACAATTCCCCTGTCAAAGTGACCACTAGAAAAGAATATTTAGTTGAAAACACATAATTAAAAGGATTGTAGATTCAAAGTCATCAGTGTACCAATTTAAGAATAATTTTCCTAAACATATTTTGATAAAGACCATAGGAACACTTGTCACATTGTTCAAATGCCCAATGGAAAGACTTCTGATAAGACCAAACAGGTCACATTAAATCAACAGAATATCTTATAAAGCCAATATGACTAAATTCAAAACATATCACATGAAGTACCTCATGTACAATATAAACCTAGTTTAATAAATAAAAGGAACACGGTGACTGCACTCTGGAGAACATTCAGTTACTGATGGCCTGTTCAAAGTCTTCTCTGAGACTCGACTGCCACTTCCACCCGGGCAAGTCTAATAGTACGGCCATGAAGTTTATAGCCGTCTTGCCTTACTAAAGCCACGGTGCCAGGCTGCACCCCAACACCAGCTGGCACATGACAGATGAGTTCATGCTCATGAGGATCATATTTGTCACCAATAGGTGTTAGCTTCTCCAGGCCATGCTTGGCAAACACACTTTTCAGCTTTGCTTCTAAAAGTGACAATCCTCGGAAGACCTTTTCCAGAAGGAGTTTCTGGTCCCCAGGCTCTGATTCTTTAGAAATGCATTCTGTAGTCTTCTCTAAGATGTCTGCCACTTCTACCAAGTCTTTACAGAAACTCTGGATTCCTGCAGAAAAACCAGACATTTTTACTGTTTGTGAGGAAATCACTCTGCCCTTGGTGGTAGAATTTAGAGAAGGCCTAATTAGGTAGCTGGTATACTGGGTAGCCCGGAAAGTGGAAAGGTTGCCACATATGACTTAGATATCACAGATTACCACCCTGCCCCAAGGCAAATATGATGAAGAACCCTACTAAGAAATAGAAAAGATGGTTAGAACCCAAGAACTAGCTAAGACTATATAATAGGCTCAAAAACTTGCCCTTTCATTTATTATTTTTGAGACAGAGGTCTTGCTCTGTTGTCCAGGCTATAGTGCCATACCATCAATCAGCCTAGTTCACAGCAACCTTACACTCCTGGGCTCAAGCAATCCTCTTGCCTCAGCCTCCTGAATAGCTGGGACTATAGGCACCCACCACAATGCCCAGCTAATTTTTCTATTTTATTAGAGACAGGATCTCGGTGTTGCTTAAGCTGGTCTCAAATTCCTGAGCTCAAAGGATTTTCCCACCTTGCCTCCCAGAGTGCTAGGATTACAGGTGTGAGCCACCATGCCTGGCCCAAACTGGTGCTTTTATTTATTTATTTATTTTTTTGAGACA